ATAGATATCCAGCAGTGGGATTGCTGGGTCATATAGTAATTCTAAGTTAATTTTTTGAGGAATCTCCATACTGTTTTCCATAGTAGATATACCAGTTTACTTTTCCACCAACAAGAAAAGGGTTCCCTTTTCTCTGCATACTTACCTGCATTAGTTATTTCTTGTCTTGTAGATAATAGCCATTTTATTTTCAAACCTGCTTAAACTTTATTTTTCACTTCATCATAACTTTAGAATTGTTCATTAAACATATTTAACATAATTTATATTTTATATTTGCTAATTCTAATATCTGCATTCATTGTAGACATAAATCAGTGGTTTGTTTTTTTATCAACTCTCAATCATATTGGCTTGTTTTCTTGGTTTTATTGTTATTTTTATATTTGTTGGTGAATTTGTGTATGAACTCATGCCCCTGAGAATTTTAGTTGTACAAATTCTTTGAGGATTAGATTGTGTTGCATCCTTCAGGGAGGATTTACACTTGGTTCTTCTGTGTGACTGGTGGCACTACCAATTTGGGATGACTTTAAATTTGCAACTTGGATGTTTTCTGGCCACATGCATACTATAAATTCCAGTCCAAACCCAATTGGGGACCAGTTCATGGGTATAAATTCTCAGAGAATATACTTTTTCCCCTTTAAGTGCATTACTAAGAGTCAAGGTTCTTTATGGTCTATTTCTGTGAGTTAGTTGCTTTTCTTTCTCTGAGGATATCATCTTATAGGGGCCCATCCTTTATCAGGAGTCCTCATCTGGCATCTCATTTTCCTCAGGACATAAGCTTTGTTGCTGATGGCTCATTGAATCTAAAGTTCTAGGTTACCAGAGATCAGTAGATCCCAGGGGGCAGTTGTTGGCTTCAGTGTCTAGTTATCTTGCTGGATTTGTAATTTTTTTGAAAAGCAACTTTGACCATGAAGGATTTCCATCACTTTCTTGCCAGCTCAGCTGTTAGGCATTTAAAGAAATGCTTTGTACATTTTTTAAAGTGTTTTTTTAAATAAATTAATTTTTATTGGTGTTCAATTTACCAACATACAGAATAACACCCAGTGCTCATCCTGTCAAGTGCCCCCCTCAGTGCCCGTCACCCATTCACCCCCACCCCCCGCCCTCCTCCCCTTCCACCACCCCTAGTTCATTTCCCAGAGTTAAGAGTCTTTATGTTCTGTGTCCCTTTCTGATATTTCCCACACATTTCTTCTCCCTTCCCTTATATTCCCCTTCACTATTATTCATATTCCCCAAATGAATGAGAACATACACTGTTTGTCTTTCTCCGATTGACTTACTTCACTCAGCGTAATACCCTCCAGTTCCATCCACGTTGAAGCAAATGGTGGGTATTTGTCGTTTCTAATGGCTGGGTAATATTCCATTGTATACATAAACCACATCTTCTTTATCCATTCATCTTTCAATGGACACCGAGGCTCCTTCCACAGTTTGGCTATTGTGGACATGGCTGCTAGAAACATCGGGGTGCAGGTGTCCCGGCGTTTCATTGCATCTGAATCTTTGGGGTAAATTCCTAACAGTGCAATTGCTGGGTCGTAGGGCAGGTCTATTTTTAACTCTTTGAGGAACCTCCACACAGTTTTCCAGAGTGGCTGCACCAGTTCACATTCCCACCAACAGTGTAAGAGGGTTCCCTTTTCTCCGCATCCTCTCCAACATTTGTTGTTTCCTGCCTTGTTAATTTTCCCCATTCTCACTGGTGTGAGGTGGTATCTCATTGTGGTTTTGATTTGTATTTCCCTGATGGCAAGTGATGCAGACCATTTTCTCATGTGCATGTTGGCCATGTCTATGTCTTCCTCTGTGAGATTTCTCTTCATGTCCTTTGTCCATTTCATGATTGGATTGTTTGTTTCTTTGCTGTTGAGTTTAATAAGTTCTTTACAGATTTTGGAAACTAGCCCTTTATCTGATATGTTATTTGCAAATATCTTCTCCCATTCTGTAGGTTGTCTTTGAGTTTTGTTGACTGTATCCTTTGTAAAGCGTTTTTTTTTTAAATTTTTATTTATTTATGATAGTCACAGAGAGAGAGAGAGAGAGAGAGAGAGAGAGAGAGAGGCAGAGACACAGGCAGAGGGAGAAGGGAGAAGCAGGCTCCATGCACCGGGAGCCCGACGTGGGATTCGATCCCGGGTCTCCAGGATCGCGCCCTGGGCCAAAGGCAGGTGCCAAACCGCTGCGCCACCCAGGCATCCCTTAAAGCGTTTTTAAGTGCCTTTTACTAGGGGAAGTTTTCATGATACCAGGTACTATATTTCCAGAAAGAGAGGTTTTGGAGGGTTTGTCTTTCCAATATACAAAGGAAAGTTAATTTGATTTTAGACTTGAGTCATTTTGGAATTTCCTTTTTTAAGCCTAAAATTTATAAAGAGATTTAATTTGGGTATTTTAATTTTAAGTTTCTCTAGACACTTCATGGTAAGCAGCCTTAAATTTATATATAGGACATTTAGCATATAATTATTGGAATGTTTTTATGAAGCTATTTTTATTTTTTGCAGAACTGCTGATAAGATATTTTAGACAGTGTGGATAGACTAATTTGAAATAGAAAATAGAATAGGGAGTGAATGTTCAACCTAGGATGAAGAGTGGCATTGGGATCAATTTAATTGATGGAGCTTCTAGGGCCTATTTTAGAGCCTTCTGGGGCAAAGCTGTCACTGTTCAACACAACCTCTATTAATAATAAAAGTGCTAATATGCTCTGCATATGCTTTATTCCCTTGTCACTCTCCATAAATTCAAAACTCTGGCAGAAGAGAGAATGAGATTTATTGGGTCCTTTCAAATTCCAAATTTTTTTTTCATAAGTATATTGCACAACAATATAATAACACTGAATAAGAATAAGTCCCCCTTTATAATTCAGTTGATACCCAATGCCCAGGATGTTAGAAATGACTTCCTCTTCACCTCACCACCCATTTCCTAGCCTCAGGTTTAAATCATTAAACTGAGAGAAAATCTTTAGCACCCCAAGTCAATGGCTCATTCCTTCCAGAAACTGTCTAGTAGTTTCCTTATAATAAAACAAAATAAGATCAAAATATAAACAGTTTGGAGAGCGATGTCAGAAATAACCAGGTCAGTTTTGAATTTATAGCAAAGAAGTTCAAGGATGTCACTTTTGATAACAGTTAAGATTCTGGATCCCCTCTTCTCATAAAACCCACCTAAATACTCCTTCTGGCAAGCAGTTCCTTATCTGAGGCTCATGAGGATAAAAACAAGAATGGATAACCTATTGCTCAATGATTTTTTGCCCTATCTGACTTGCCAAGAAGGAAAGAAGATTTAATGAAGTAATTGGGATTGGGATTTCTGAGAAGACAGTTTGATGTATTTTCTGTGATCAAGTGGAATGAAACAGACTTTCTTCCTGACAGTATAGGAGTGGTGAAGACCCACTGGCAACCATCTGCCCTGGCCTGGAATCCTGTCCTTGGGACCTAATTGCTGTATGACAATGCTGGAGGAGTTACTTGTGGGGATGGTTATTATTTTTTGTAGATAAGAAAATAGACCCTAAGAAGTTGGGTGGGATAAAATCTGTAAGGTACTTATCAAGCACTTAATACATCAGAGCTGCAATAATGACTTTTTACTCCAGAATGTAACCTCTCATCAAGTAAGTCCATTATCAATAGTCTTACTGGTATCTGGAAAAGAGCTATATCAAATCTAGAAAGGGACACAAAAAGACATTTACATAGAGTTTTGAGTGTCCTATTCCAAATCATATGAATTCAAGGTTTGTGGGTGTATTAAGAACTTAAAATTAAGAAAGGGCAGCATTTTTTTTTTAGAAAAAACGTTTTTTAATGAAATTAAGCAGCCAAAATTATATTACTAGTAATGGGGAGAAAAAGCTGATAAATCACAAATTCAATTATAAACCTAATTTTTCATTTTATTCCTTGTATCAACAGGTTAAGAAAGTGAAATTCTCCTACATACTGATTTATGTTTATAAGCAGCACACAAAACATTATTTCACAGAGAAATATTCAGTAATCCCCTCAATTGCAGTTTTCTTATTTTAATCTAAATGCAATAATTTAATAAGCTTAACACACACAAAAATGGTATATCCTGAACTACAAAAGTGGTTTCCATAGCCATATATGATTTTAGTCAAGTACACATTTCCACAATGAACAAGTACTAACAAACATGTTAATAAAACACTATCTCAAATGCTTATCCTGCCATCAGCTTTTTAAGCAACACCATTTCTACTACTGAAAGTATTTATTTTCAGAAGTTTTAATCTGACCTAGGAAAATGAGTTCTCTTAAAACTTGACAACTAGTTCATTATTAAGTCCAAAAGGTATTAAATCAAAGCCTTCCAATACGGAAGAATTCACATGAAACTTTTCATTTAAAAAAACAAAAAAAATCATTCTTGTAATCTAAAGAATATTAAAAAACAAATATCTTAAGACCGATAAACATTCCTCCAAAACACTATTATTTTCTTGTATTATCTTCTTTAAAAAAAAATGCAAACCAGTTCACTTTTAATAATTTCTTAGACTTCTGTAGTCTAAAAACTTTAGAATACATGAAACATCTTAGCAATCATAATCAAAGGTGCCCTTTAGATTTCATATATTAAACAGCTATTGTATAGCCTACAAAGGCACAAATACACTCAACACATAAATACTACTTCATCATTTAGACGGTCAAAGTCAGAAGGAACTGCATGGTTTGCAAGGTATTTCAACTTACATGTAGTCATTAAAACCCAACAAGTAATTCAAGTATAGTCATATAAGGGCAGGCAATTCAAGGCTCAAATTTCACTCTAAAATTGAAGATCTGAAAATAAAAGATGAAAACTTTATGTTTCTCCATCTTGCATATACATGGATAGATACTGGGACCTTACTGGGGAAAATATACAGTTATTATACACGGTTTCCCCAGAAAATAATGAAGCTTCAGAAAATACAGATAGTGTCAAGACCCATAATTTGCTTCATCAAAAGCTTTTCTAGCTCGTTTCAATTCTTCATTCATAGTAAGCAAGTCTTTAACCCTAGCAAACTTCCTTGGGTCCTTTCGAATCAAGAAGACGATATCTTCAACTTGTACCCGACCTTGTCTTCCAATTGACATTGCCTTGTGAGTCATTTCAGTGATGAACTCTATGACAAGGTCTTCAAGAATATCCACTGACTCAGTATAAGGATTCTGGTCATCCCCAAACCCATACATCATACATCGCAACTGTATTTGTCGTCTTCAAGTATGGACTTTGATGTAAAAGATTTTAACCACATTTCATAACCAACTGTTCCTACCTGTTCTTCCCTAGTAGGAACTTCTGTTCCCTCCCAGTTACTGAGCCCTGACATCAATATTCTTTCCCTAACTTCTATCATCTATTCACTAACAACCCTGGGATACCTTTAAGTAGAAAACTCCATGGCAGTGACAGGATAAGTAGCAATGGCTCAGCCCTTACTGAGAGTGTTCTGTGTGTTTATGGTGTTGATGGGTGGGAGGGGCATGGAGCATCAGAAAAGAGAAGGCAAAATCCTTTCTAATACTAACACAGGGAAAAAGGACATGAGAGAAAATACTCCAAATACTACTTATATGAAGAACACAGTAATCAAAAGAAGAAAGCAAACTATGTGGAATCTTGACAGTTTACTTCCTAGATCAATGCTCCGCTAACAAACTCTTTTCAGGCTTCATCTGAAAGAACCATTAAAAAATGCAAAACAGGGCAGCCCTCGTGGTGCAGCGGTTTGGCGCCACCTGCGGCCTGGGGTGTGATCCTGGGGATCCCGCGTCGGGCTCCCTGCATGGAGCCTGCTTCTCCCTCTGCCTGTGTCTCTGCCTCTCTCTATATATATTCTTTAGAAAAAAGTCTCTTCCTTTTACCCTGTCCGCCTTCTGCACCTCCTCCAATTTCTTCATTTTCCTCCTCAAAAGCAGGGTCTTCCTCCTCGTCGGCCATGCCGCCGGCCTGCCTAGGAGCGCCGCAGCCTCCCTTGCAGCCGCTAAGGGCAGCATTCTTGACTCATCTCCCCTTCTAAGCCTGCTCTATCTAACACCAGAGCCTAAAGAGTTATATATTGCCTCTCAATGGATGACTATTTTACTTTTATTTCAATTGGTGCACATCCTTATCATTCTGAAATTTAAGGTTTGCTCTTCTTCAATTTATCATTGGCTGCAAATATGTATTATCTGTTGGCAAAACATCAGTTCTGACCATTTCTATACTTTGCTAACCTGCTAACTTGTACTATGATGTTGGGAAGGGTTTTGTATAAGTGAGAGAAGAGTAACAGGACCTGAAAAGGATTCCCATAGCCCAGATCTATGATACCTCTTGAATACCTCCAGGCATCCTTATGTTACTTTGAAGTAATTCAGGATTTCATAGTTTACTGATACCATATACACTATTATATAAGCTAGTGGTATCCAAAATGAGGATCTCAAGTTGGTCTGTGTGCAAACAATAACCCTTTTATTTATATTTAGTTGTTAATTTTATCTTCTTTAAAAAATCAAAGTTTGTATGTTTTAATGTACAATATACGTGCTTATATTTTATAATATACGTATATAATGAGTGCCTATTCAAGTTTCCTTTTTCCTTTTAACTGATGATAGAGTAATTAAAACAATTTGGAGACCACTGGTATTGATTATATTTGCCAATTTAATAGCTATCAACTCAAGTATACTGTTGATAAGGGCAAACACTAACTTTTAGTGACAAGATTCTCAGAGTTTACATATCATTTACATCCTCTAACAGCTGAACTTGTACTACTTAAATTTGTAAATTTTGTTTTTTTGTAAAATCAAGTCCAGAGCATGTCTAAATTATTTGGTGGGAATACTGAATAAAACACAAGTAGAGATGAACTAGGATGAGATCTCTCCAGAGATATTAGTTAACTAAGTTTCTAGGGCAGAAGCACATTTGGCTTGTTCCCTCAAATAAAGTACCTCAGGTTAGGATGATATGTGTTTCTAAGAAGTTCACAAAAACTTTCAAATTTGTCATCTCCTAATTCAAAAATAGACTTTCATTTTAACATCTATCTTGGTTTTTAATATGCCAAAGGATTCTCTCAGATAGCTTTTGGTTAGGAAAGGGAGGCCCCAGTGGAGACTGATGGTGATTTTCTTTGGAGAGAAAAGATAATAGGATTTGTAGGAAGAAGCCAGCCACAAAAAGGAAGCAGAAGAATGGGTGTGACCTTTCTTGTGAAGGTTTTTTTTTTTTTTTAAAGATTTTTGTTTATTTATTCATAGAGACACAGAGAGAGAGAGGGGCAGAGACACAGGCAGAGGGAGAAGCAGGCTCCATGCAGGGAGCCCGATACGGGACTCGATCCCGGGGCCTCCAGGGTCACACCCCAGGCTGCAGGTGGCGCTAAACCGCCGCGCCACCGGGGCTGCCCTCTCGTGAAGTTTTAAAGGGTTCTACAGGTAGAGTCTGACCTGTGTGAGAGAATTCAAGATGGCTGCTATACAGGTGTGTTGGGGCTGCTTAGCAGGTACACAGCTGAGTAACTTCAACCAACAGATTCATTCTCCCAAAGTTCTGGAGGCTTGGAAATCTGAAATCAAGGTGCTGACAGTCACATTCCCTGTGAACCTTCTAAGGAGAGAAACTTTATTGCTTCTTTTACTTTTTAAAAAGATTTTATGTATGTATATATGTATATATGTATGTATGTATGTATTTGAGAGAGCCAGTGGTGAGGGGGTTGAGGGGTCGGAAGGGCAGAGGGAAAAGGAGAGAGAGAATCTCAAGCAGACTCCCTGCTGAGTGCGGAGCCAGACATGGAGCTTGATCTCAGGACTCTGAGATCATGACCTGAGCTGAACCCAAGAGTTAAATGCTTCACTGACTGAGCCACCCCAGACCTTTCTTTTGTTGCTTCTTGAAGCTTCTGGTAGCTCCAAGTGTTCCTTGGCTTATGGCAGTGCAACTCCAATCTCTGTCTCTGTTGCTGTCTTCCCTCAGTGTCTCTGTTGAAAAGACAGCAGTCATATTGGATGAGGGGCCCACTCTGCTCTACTATGACTTCATTTTAACTAAGTATATCTACGAAGACCCTATTTCCAAGTAAGGTCATTTTGAAGTACTGAGGATTAAGACTTCAAATGTCTTTTGAGGGAGTATGATTCAACACGTATTAGCTGTTGAGAGTCTTGCAGTTCCTTAGGAGGATAGAAGGAGAGTTCACTCAGTGATTTTGGATTTCTAGGCTGTGAGTGGGAGGTGGACTATATACCATGAGAATGCAATGAGGTGACTATCCTTAGATAAGTCAGAACATAAACTTGAAGACCTGGAAAAATTAGACCTGAGAGGAATTAGGGAAGAGGGAATGTGCCCACATCTGATATTAACTATCACATTGGAATTAAATAGAATATTTTTGTTAATTAAACTTGTAGAGTCCTAGAAGTTTTGTTAGCAAGTGGGTCAGTGGGTGTTGGTGTTTATGAGTACCCCCCACAGAACCACGCTGGCTCTCCACGGCTGCTGTCAGTCTGTTTGGTGTGTACTTCATTCTGACTGAGGCTGTTTCAGTAGTTAAATCTTTTAAACACTACCCCTAAGAATCACTATTTAAAAAAATGATCACTATGTAGTGAGGAAGAGTCAGCATCAACAAATTTTTGAAAAAAATTAATGGTGAAAGGAAGGTTGTAATACCTTGGTGGGAGAGCAAGGCTAATTTAATTTATTTTATTTTTAACATTTATTAACTTTTTAATTTTTTAAAATTTTTATTTATTTATGATAGTCGAGAGAGAGAGAGAGAGAGAGGCAGAGACACAGGCAGAGGGAGAAGCAGGCTCCATGCACCGGGACCCCGATGTGGGATTCGATCCCGGGTCTCCAGGATCGCGCCCTGGGCCAAAGGCAGACGCTAAACCGCTGTGCCACCCAGGGATCCCTAATTTTAATTTTTAAATGGTGTAATTTGAATGTATTGTCCATCAGGAGGGCTTGAGGTGCTGCTGTTGGCCGGAGAGTCTGGGATAAGGCACACCCATGTTGGGTTAACACCAAAAGGAAGCTAACTGTTCCTGTTCAGAAAATTATTTTACCCCAGGACTGACCTTTCCCTGTAGTGTCCTCCAGGCTCTTAGTCAGGGTAGCTGGGACGACTGCCCTAAGTTTACGGATACTTTCTTACTTTGGATCCATCCTGTCCACTTGGCAGTCAAGGATATGGCTGTTTTCTCTTCATGGAGACCATGGCACTTGGGCATGCACACATATGCCATCGCCAGAGGCAAGCAACTTGGGAGAGGCCAGGGCCATTCTTAATTTCCTTCCTTTTCCTCTATCCTTTAATGGCCAACTGACCCGATTTCCAAAGGGAATAACGATCCATTGACTTGTTTCATTTAAAAAAATTTTTTTTAGAAAGATTATTTATTTATTTATTCATGAGAGAGAGACACACACACACAGAGGCAGAGATACAGGCAGAGGGAGAAGCAGGCTCCATGCAGGAAGCCCGATGTGGGACTCCATCCCGGAACTCCCGGATCATGCCCTGAGTCAAAGGCAGACACTCAACTGCTGAGCCACCCAGGTGTTCCTATTGACTTGTTTTAATGATATTTTTACCAGTGTAACTTCATCTAAGAGCTTTATGCTTCTGCATTAACGGAACTTATTTTATTTTATTTTATTTTATTTTTTTATGAGTATTTGTTTTTTTTTATAAATTAATTTTTATTGGTGTTCAATTTACCAACATACAGAATAACACCCAGTGCTCATCCCGTCAAGTGTCCCCCTCCGTGCCCGTCACCCATTCACCCCCACCCCCCGCCCTCCTCCCCTTCCACCACCCCTAGTTCATTTCCCAGAGTTAGAGGTCTTTATGTTCTGTGTCCCTTTCTGATATCTCCCACACATTTCTTCTCCCTTCCCTTATATTCCCCTTCACTATTATTCATATTCCCCAAATGAGTGAGAACATACACTGTTTGTCCTTCTCCGATTGACTTACTTCACTCAGCATAATACCCTCCAGTTCCATCCACGTTGAAGCAAATGGTGGGTATTTGTCGTTTCTAATGGCTGAGTAATATTCCATTGTATACATAAACCACATCTTCTTTATCCATTCATCTTTCGATGGGCACCGAGGCTCCTTCCACAGTTTGGCTATTGTGGACATGGCTGCTAGAAACATCGGGGTGCAGGTGCCCCGGCGTTTCATTGCATCTGAATCTTCGGGGTAAATCCCTAACAGTGCAATTGCTGGGTCGTAGGGCAGGTCTATTTTTAACTCTTTGAGGAACCTCCACACAGTTTTCCAGAGTGGCTGCACCAGTTCACATTCCCACCAACAGTGTAAGAGTGTTCCCTTTTCTCCGCATCCTCTCCAACATTTGTTGTTTCCTGCCTTATTAATTTTCCCCATTCTCACTGGTGTGAGGTGGTATCTCATTGTGGTTTTGATTTGTATTTCCCTGATGGCAAGTGATGCAGAGCATTTTCTCATGTGCATGTTGGCCATGTCTATGTCTTCCTCTGTGAGATTTCTCTTCATGTCTTTTGCCCATTTCATGATTGGATTATTTGTTTCTTTGGTGTTGAGTTTAAGAAGTTCTTTATAGATTTTGGAAACTAGCCCTTTATCTGATATGTTATTTGCAAATATCTTCTCCCATTCTGTAGGTTGTCTTTGAGTTTTGTTGACTGTATCCTTTGCTGTGCAAAAGCTTCTTATCTTGATGAAGTCCCAAGACAGTGTGGTACTGGCACAAAAACAGACACATAGACCAATGGAACAGAATAGAGAACCCAGAAGTGGACCCTGAACTTTATGTTCAACTAATATTCGACAAAGGAGGAAAGACGATCCACTGGAAGAAAGACAGTCTCTTCAATAAATGGTGCTGGGAAAATTGGTCATCCACATGCAGAAGAATGAAACTAGACCACTCTCTTGCACC